CGGTCCGCGCGCTCTCTCTGTGTGTGCACACACACACACACACACACACACACACACACACACACACACACACACACTGGGCCGAGGCAACATTCTATGAGGCGTCTGGGGAGGGCGGCCAAGTTCAGGGGAGGCGAGGGGACGACTGAACTGAGCGAGGGTGAACTTATTTAGGCCATTTTTCCTTCAGCGGATTCATTGAATGTTGCGCTCTCACCGCAACAGCGAGCGCAATTCTTTCTCGAAACAGTTCACAAGAGTCTTTGTTGGTTGCTAGGATTTTGACTGCGGCCAATGAAAACTATCCATTCATTTTCTGGTGCGCTTGTTCTCATTTGAGTCATGGCTGAGCTGGTGTCTGATGCCTAACAAAGGTTCACACTCACATTCATATCTATGGACAATTTAGAGCAGGGATTCTCAACCGGTGGGTCGGGACCCAAAAGTGGGTCGCTGATCCATTTCGGGTGGTCCTGGGACAGCTAGTAAAAAAATGATATATTCTCACTTTGTTTTTACTCTGCTACAGTACAGAGGTGTTACAAGTTCCCCCATGGAACATACTGCAACACCGGTCAACAAATCCTGGTTCAATTTTCTACTCAGAGATGCAAGTAAACTTTTCTAGATTGATTTTTTTATGCTGATTCGGAATCTGCCCATTTTTTTCTGATTTCTAGTTTTTTAAAATAAGGGCTAGGTTGAGCAACAGGTGGTATTTTTTCTGAAACATCATAGCGATAAATTACAATACAAGGTAAAATCCATATTGTACAGAGTTTTAAAGGACAAACTTAAAAACAACAAAAAGAAAATAGATCAAACACCCGATGTGTTCGAAAAAAAAGTAAAGACTTTTTTTTAATCAGCGAGAAAAATTCATTTTGGCACATGTAAAGCCATCTCTAATTCATCGTTGATGTTGACCAGCGTAATTAGGTAAGCAACAGGAAGCGTAGCTGCCTCGCGCTAATTTGCTGCGTAAACAAATACAGTGCAGCTCAGCCGCTAGCTAGCATGAGCGATATGCTTTTGGTGGAACATCAAACCAAAACGTAGACAGCTTTTGCAAGTCTAATATACTTTGCATGTATTGTCAGAGGCCATTTTGAAACAAACAGGTGTGAATGCAACTGCGACTGATCGTTTTGTCTCGATGTGGCCTACAAATGACTGTCCACCATTCCAAAGTCCTCACAAGGTACCCATCTCTGACCCAATGTCAGCTGGGAGCCATGAGTTGACACTATAGAAAAAAAAGGATTTCTGAAAACAGATGCAATTAAATTTTAATCATGTTTTGGGTAGAAAAAAAAAAATACAAATCTAACGTCACATGAAAAAAAAAACACTGTACAGGTTGAGTTTTGCTTTTCACCCTTTCATGCACCCCATAGCCTGAAAACCTGATAAGCCGTCCACTGTAGTCAAGATCTTAGACTTCTCTCAATATTAATTGTAACATTAACATAGTCATCCTAAAAAAATGTTCATTGTTGTGGTCCTTATTCACTTGGTGAAACTCAGCCTGGGGGATGACTAAAATTGGCGTTTTCATTTAAAAATGTCGATTAAGATTGGCAGTTGCATTTTTTTTGGTGTGTATGTGCGCTTTGTGTCCTTTTTGTTGCGATTATCCACTCAGTCAATGTAAAACAACATCGTGAATATCAAATGTACTTATTTTGACAAATCATCTGCACTGCGTTGTTTTAGCGCAAGTGCAAAATGTCAACACTTGTCCACAGGAGGCTTATCAGCAGGTAGATAAAATACAAGAAGGTAAATAAAATACAAGGAAGTTGATCCGACAGGCGTCTCCGAAGTTCCGTTTTGTTAAACAAACAACAAACTTTTTCAAAGCAGAAATATAGCAACACAGCTTTGCTTACCTCCATGTAAAAAACCCTTTTTGTGCGTTTTACGGCTTTGTGCTCCGCCGTCCCCTGTCGTTAAAGGCCTTTTGTGTTGCAAACTGCCCAGGATGTCAACAACACAAACAAACAGTGGAGGGGCAATTAGATGACAAAGGACCCCCCCCACCACTCTGCTGCTTGCCAGCAAGAGTTAATAAAGCCAGTTAGTGAAGCAGTTGTTTCTTTAGTTTATGTTTTTAATATTTCTGAAGGTCCAAAGACTTCCTCTGACGTTTTATTCATTTTTAGACGAGAAGGTCAGGCGGCGCACGCTTGCCCAGCCGTGCTTTGGCGAGGCCGTCACTCTCAACACGAGTCACACGCAAACTTCATGTGACATGATCCGTAACTCCATCTAGAGGTGTTACGCTATCATTCCCACCATTTAAAGAGCTTTTCCACCTCCTCGATGACCTCGGCTTCGCCTCGCCGGACACCCAAAATGACCTGATGGCCACTATACTCCAGCTGCGTGCGTGTGTGTGTGCGCGCACTTTGCACAGAGGTCATTCCAGCATTTTCCAGAGTGTCTGTGGAGTGTGAGGGAATCCAGCATGGCCAGTGAGCATGTATATCAGGCCATCTCACGGCTGGCTGCAGGCACCCCGGGTGGCCCGCCGTGGTCGATACCGCACTGGTGACTGGACACGCAGAATGGGATAATCTCCTTACTTTCTTTCACACACACACACACACACTCCATTGTACCGGCACGGCAACAGAGGCCTGCCCGGCTCTCCTTCTAGGTCAGCGCCAGCCGAAGGGTGGCCGAGGCCTGCGGTTCCACAGTGAGGACGCAGTCTATTTACATGCACGGTTTGGACTATTATACCCTCTGTAGCCTCTTATTTCTCTTTTCCACTGCACAGGATCTACTCTACTTGGCTTGGTTTTCCATCCATCTACAGTATTTTATGTAGTAGTGCTTACCAACATTACTTTAGCAAAGGCATGTTTTATTTTAGTAGCATTTTAATGACTGTCTACATGTGTTACTGCACCGCTTGTGATCAAATCCCGGTTGCTGAAAGTGTTACATTGATGCTAGTTTTGTTAACCTGTCCATGGCTTTCGCATTATGCGTTAGCATTAGGCTAGCTGACTTTCGTAAAGTTAAGTGGTTGTCTTACATTGATGCTAGTTTTGTGAACCTATCCATGGCTTTTGCATTTTGCGTTAGCATTAGGCTAGCTGACTTTCGTAAAGTTAAGTGGTTGTTTAAAATACATCTTTGTTCGTCTCAAAATAATTGTGTCAAAAATAACCCATGTAATATTCACTCTGAGTACTCAGCGATACTTACACCTCTAGCACTTTGCATCGATAAAATTTCATTCAGAAAATGACAAAAGATTGTGAACAAAAGCCTTTCTTTTTGATGCAGATGATGATTCTCAGGGAGGATTTACTCGATTTTTTTCCAGATTTTTCAAAAAGTATCGGTTGGCCGGTATCAGTAGCGTCTGTGATGAACACCTTGAATCAATGTAAGCATTGGCCCGAAACTGGTATCGGTACTCGCCATCCTTAATTTGTTCTTTCAACCACAACTGGGAATGGCAATAAACAGCTTGAAATCTACACTTGGCCTTTAAAAAAAAAGTTCACTGTCGCACCCCACTCCCAACGTGTGTGTGTGTGTGTGTGCGTGTGTGTGTGTGTGTGTGTGGTGTGTGTGTGTTTGTGTGTGTGTGTGTGTGTGTGTGTGTGTGTGTGTGTGTGTGTGTGTGTGTGTGTTTTTGAATAAAAGGTTTCATTCAACATCGTCAACTCGCTTCATCACTCCTGCTGCTCGGCCACAAAGACGTCTAATTGACACCACAGATTTGGGCCAGTGGCTTGAACGGTTCCCCTTCCAATCCTTCAGTCGCTGCTCAAGTCATGGCGCACAATGGGGCGTCCGTGGCTTTGTGTGCAGGCACGTAAACAGCACCCTGCTATGAACGACCATAATGGCATCCGTTTACTGGCAGTTGGGGTGTTTTCATAAACGTTTTGGAAAAGTAGGGGAAAATGCAAAATATTTCACTTTTAGGGTTGTTCTGCCAGCACACTAAAATAAAATATTGTACAACAAAAGCAAAGGCATTTGTTTTTTACACATTTATTGGAAATCACATCAGGACAATATCGGTAACATTGTACAATTGATCAGTTTATGCTGTGTTCTTATCGTATGGACATCAATGCAAAGGAGACACTGGTCAAAATTGAATGACTAAAAATCCATTTTGATTGTTTAAACCCTCGTTGATCTTGAGTTAATGTAAAATATACATATATGATTAATGAATATCATTAATTTTTTTTATTAAAAAAAATCATTTATTTCTTGGTTTTTATGAAGAGCAAAAATGTATCACAATTTCCCCGAATAACTAATTTTATTAGAAGAACAATTGAAAAAATGTGTTTCTGAACAAAACAAATACATCTCATGACTCCATGAATTAAAAAAAACATTTTTTAAAATTATAATAACTTATCTGTGCTGTGTTTGTGTGTGTGTGTGTGTGTGTGTGTGTGTGTGTGTGTGTGTGTGTGTGTGTGTATGTTACACATACAGCACATTTGACAATAAAGTTGTATCCAATCCAATCCAATCCAAAATTAATTATTGTTTTTAGATAAGACAATTTGGCAAGACATGCTTTTAATTAGGCATATTCATAACTGAACATAAATGAAAAAGTATGACTGATTTCTGATTATAGCTGCAGTTCTAAACAGATGTGGTTGCTCAACCCTTTAGGACTCCTCAAAATACATTTTAGAAGCTTCTTCAATTTACCTGCTCACATGACGACAAATTAATAAAAAAAAGCACGCACTTTGTTGCATGTGTTCCTGTCCTTGATTGCAGCTTTACATCGTCATGGCGACAAAGAGTGGCTTCATCTGTGGAGAAAAAAATAAAAATGGAAGACAAGTTAAAATCAGTGTGTGGTCACTATAATTACGGTGAGGAATAAAAGCAAATGCGGCTTGTTGCAAACAAACAACGGAAGGGGGGGGGGGGAATCAGCTTTGGCATATGTCCATGTAAGCATGTGCGTGTGTATTCACTTGTGCGTCTATCAGCTGTCTGCATCAATGGCGCGCGTGTGTGTGTGCGCGCGTGCGTGCGTGTGTGACCCGCAACCCCTTCGCCCTCCACTCCCCCAGCCGGCACTGGTAGACAGTGATGGGTCAGGGGTCAAGACAGAGTCTGTCTGGGTTTACTAGCTGACCCTAACGCCTGCAGCATCAAAACACACGCACATAGACAAGTAAGGGGGTGGTGTGTTTGCCACCTCACCAGACTAATATCACCTTTGGGATTAGGCTCCAGACAGAAATACACTGACCCCCCCCCCCGAGTTTTAAAGGACAAACTTAAAAACAACAAAAAGAAAATAGATCAAACACCCGATGTGTTCGAAAAAAAAGTAAAGACTTTTTTTTAATCAGCGAGAAAAATTCATTTTGGCACATGTAAAGCCATCTCTTAATTCATCGTTGATGTTGACCAGCGTAATTAGGTAAGCAACGGGAAGCGTAGCTACCTCGCGCTAATTTGCTGCGTAAACAAATACAGTGCAGCTCAGCCTCTAGCTAGCATGAGCGATATGCTTTTGGCGGAACATCAAACGAAAAAGGAAGACAGCTTTTGCAAGTTTAATATACTTTGCATGTATTGTCAGAGGCTATTTTGAAACAAACAGGTGTGAATGCAACTGCGACTGATCGTTTTGTCTCGATGTGGCCTCCAAATGACTGTCCACCATTCCAAAGTCTTCACAAGGTACCCATCTCTCACCCAATGTCAGCTGGGAGCCATGAGTTGACACTATAGAAAAAAAAGGATCCATTTATATTTAAGATTTCTGAAAACAAATGCAATTCAATTTTAATCATGTTTTGGGTAAAAATAAATAAATAGTGGGCCATCCATGTGGCCGCAGCCATCTGCCGGTCCAGTCTGGATGCATCGGAGCCACTCATTAGCTCGCTGCTGGTTACTTTGACAGCTTAAATCTGTGCTCATGGGGTGTTTTTATTCATTTATTTATTTTTTTTTAATGCCCATCCACAAACTTTTCATCTCTCTGTCACTACTCCAACTCTCCTCCTTCAGATCACTACTCCAATTTGCCGTCCCCTATTTTCTCACGTGGGCGCAAACACACTTGCACAAGACTTCACACCACGGGGATGGTACCGGGGAACTAGGTCAGTCTGCCTGTACCCCCTCCCCTCTTCAAACCCCCTTAAAATGTTCTGGCTGGACAGGAAAGTGGGACACGCGCACACACACACACAGACACCGACACACACACACACACACACACACACACACACACACACACAAGCGCGCGCACACGTCGGATGTGCTTGCTCATAAAAACGGCCGGCACGAGACGCTGAGTCTTTGAGGAGCATCTAATTATATTTTAGGGGAGCAGAGGGACCGTCGCCATGATGAGAAAGGAAGCTAGCTGCTAAGCGTGCTACGCAGCGTACGCACCGCTGAAGACAAAACATCAGTGGCCATCGACAGTAAACGGGGAGCAAGCACGCTTTGCATCTTATCTATGGAACTGTGCGAGCAAGAAAGGTGCTGAGGAAGCATGTTTTAAGAAGTATTGTGGCTTTTCTGCTTTTGCGGCTGGGATGAAGCATATTCCCCATGATAAATTGGGGTTGACTATAATCCAAACTGTGATCAATTTACAGCGAGCAGGATCAAACAAGTTCCACGTTGGAAGATGCTTCGGATGGAAAGTCAAATCCAAGAAGTGTAAGACTGCTGAATCCCAGCTCAGAAATAAGA